CACAGCTACAGTTCCAGGTGACTTCAAGTCAAAAGGATACTACATGTCAATGGCCAGCAGCCTGTATTCAGTTTGAATATTGCAGTAAATGTACCTGGATCTGTTTCTATTGGGTTGTGAATTTGGTCTCACTGTTACATCCAACTTATAGAGTGGGATAAAGACAAAAAGAAACAAGAGAGAATGGATTTGTAGTTAGAAATCCAAAGTTGCTTCTGTTTTGCCCACACACATTGATGATGATTTCACATCACTAAGCAGGTTATCAAATGTGGACAGAATGTTTGCAGAATCTTATAATTCTCATAAGATTCTGTTTTTGTGTCATTCAATACAATGTGTTTATGTGTGACATACTGATATGAATCATAGTATCTTATGGAATTCCAAAAACGGCTGCCAGGACAGCTGCCACCACACTGATGTGACACACTACAAATCAACTCTTTGATGCTCTGTGCTGAGTCTGCACAATAACCTGCACTTAAACATTCATTTAATATCACGTACACATATACACATACTGTCCCTCAAGAAGACACTGAGAAAAAATAAAGAATAACATAGAGACTGTAACTTTGCCATAAGTCATAGGTGTCAAACTCTGGCCCACATTTGGCCCGCGAAGCCATACCAAATTACTATTAGAGCTGGCCTACTGGTATTATACAGTTAATATATATATTGTTCAGTATTAAGCTTTGCTTGTTCCACATTCAGTTTTCCAGCAAAACTTATTTGAGTCCATAAGAAAAGATTCATTCTTATATCTGGAGGAAGATTTTTTTTTCAATAAATATTAATGTTAGCCCACGACTTTGTTCCAATTTTGAATTTTGGCCCACTGTGTATTTGAGTTTGACACCCCTGCTTTAGAAAGTCTCAATCTCTCCGTGGCGCTCCTTTACATCCGATTATTACTCATTAAAATAATAATTTATGACTACATTTTTAAAGAATCTTATTTCTATGAGCATTTTGTTGCCACAGTCCAAGGTTTTATGAAACATGTTGCTGGAATCGAAATCAAAATGAGAAAATGACCATGGTGGTGTTTACTACACCATCAGTGATGACCCCAAACCCTAACTCTTCATTCTAACCAATTCAATTTAAGGGAGTCATGCACTGACTTGTACAACTATCTTAGAGTTTCTTACAGGCTGTGGTATGTACTATGTACAGTTACAGCCGACATAACAATTTCAGGATCTGGCAACCCAACCCAGTCTTTTTCCCTAACCATAACCACAGCTTTCAATGACTAAACCCTAACCAGAGACTTTAACTAACCCTAATCACATGATCTGAATGCCTAATCTGTGTCAGTTAGAATTATTTTTTTTATCCCTGACTGTCAAGAACAATTTTTAAAAGAAGACAAATTTACATATTCTGGGGAATATTGTGATAGGTTCAGGGTCATCACCGATGATTGGGGTCTGATTTTGCATCCAGTTTTCATTTACATTTTACACAGCTTCTCTACTTTCCCAGAAGGGAGGCTTTACATCACAGGGTTTCAACAGTTTCCAAACATCAGTAAACATCATTACACCAGCAAACACTTACTTTCTATGACACAGACACGAGACACAATCGCGGATCAGACATAGGCAATCTAAAGCAAAATGTAAATATGCTCTGTGTGTACATCAGCTTCACACACAGAGAGCATATTTACGTTTAATTTTCATCTCTCCGATTTACGCAGCAGAGTGCCCACTGATGTCTCATCTCCAGACAGCAGATTACTGGTTTAGGATTTACAGTTTTAACCCTGTCACACTCGAGGAAGACAAGTCAGTGTCCCCGCAGACGTCAGCTCATACTCATGGCTTTATTTATGTATATCCAAGGACGAGCCAGGCGACACTTTGAGAACGTTTTACTAATCTCATGGAGGGGCAGTTGATGCATTTAGATGATTACATTCAAAACCATATTGAGCGTTTTTTTCTGATGCAATTCTGCCAATGAAGCAGAGAAAAGGAATTTGCTAAGTACTAATAACATGGAGTGCAGTAGGTGTAGTGGCAATCAGCTGAAGAGAGAGAGACGCTGTTCTCCATCTCTTAGAGGGAGCCAAACAATTAAATGTAATGAAGTAGTTAAGACAGAATTACATTTAACAAAGTCTTTGTGGAAATATAAATCGAGAGAATCTACTAATTTCAGGATACCCAAAGGATGTGGGAATGTGAAGACAATGAGAGGCGAGAAGGAAAGAGAAGCGGGTCACAAGAGGTCAAGATTCAATATTTGCGCCCACGAGGCTCCAGATGAGCAGGGAGAGAAGCAGGAAGGTTAAGAAAAAAAGAGAGAAAAAAAACATAAAAAGAAGGCGGTGAACTCTTACCTTTCTACCCTCAAGGAATTTAAGAGCTGTACCAATGTTGGCGACCCAGTGGATCCTTTTTAGCTTCTTGCCCTGTTCACATGGCTGGGAGGAGAAGGGAGAACAATGGATATGGAAAGGAAGCAAGAGAGATATTGAGAGGGAAAGAAAACGAGAGGGTAAAATGTATCAGTACATGTATAAAAAATTAGCACAGTTTAAACAGACAATAAAGCATAGATGAAAAAAATATAGCATAAACGTTTTTGAAATAATGAGACTCAGAATTCCAATCAAAGACTATAAACAAACGGATCAATAGGACAGAGGCAGATTAGACCTTAGGCAGTATTGGTCAAATGTAATCCTCAAGCCGTGTGTGTCTTTGTCTGTGTTTGTGAACTCTGATCTGTCCTTGTTAATCTAGGCTTTCCCACTCAATTCAAACATCCTAATAAAAGTCAGTCAATAGGCATTTCCATATAATTCTGGCTCATTTCACATTCACTGCATTAAGCCTGCAGCTCACTGGACAAACAAACATTCAAAAATTATTGTATTTCTCTTTTATTGCATCAGCCTGAGCCGGTTCAGTGTGAGAAAGTAGAAAATATAATCCAGAGAGATCAGAGGAGAGGACGTGTTTGAAGCTTGTAGCCAAATCCCATGATGTAGAAATGACCCACAGGCTCACCAGCTTTTGTCCTGAAAGGACTTCCAGCAAGGCCAGCAGCATCACACCATCTTTTATGTCCTCAAAGAGATCGGTCATCACCAGGGGAGGGACATGCTACAGAAGACAACACACACATCATATGAAATAAGTAAACTTAAGTGCAATGCTTAAACTAGAAACATTGTGGTTTTTAACATTGAGAAAGACTTGAAAACACTCATCTGAAGGCAGGTGCATACTTTATAATAACACAATTTTTCCAGGCAAGATATTTCTAAACAAGCGACTAAATTTATGTAACTGTTTGTGCAAAAAAAAAAAGGGGGGGGGATCACTGTTTACATAAGTGTTTCATGTCACACAAAGCTTTCCCAGTTTTCTTGGAATGCAAAGAGTAAGGATTACAGAGCTAATAGGTCTAGCAATGTACAGAAAACTTTGAGGTAAGAAGTATTTTTCTGCACATTATCCCCCACAAAGCTGCATAGTGCATACATAACCCTAACATAATACATATATTAAACTGTAAGACATTCATTTAAACTTGTGGGACAGGGATAAAGGAAATCTTCATAAAAAAAACTGTGCTAGGAGCCCAAACAGAGTTTGGTGGTGCCGTGTATTACTGACAGCTGGATTCATCCATAAGCGCCGGCTCAGAGGACTCTGAACGGCTTCTTCAAATCCTAAAATATGCTGATGATTTCAAACTGTATCCTTCCCATTGACTTCCTCCCTGACCTGACACAGACTTCCAGACTTGAGGAAATCCACATATCTCAGTTTTTCGCCGCCGCCACATCAAGGATTTCTCTTAAAGCACAGTCACATGCTGGGGCTGAGGAGAGCTTTAGAGGGGAGGGGGAGCTTTCAGACGAGCGAACCATTCACAGGGAGATTAGCAGCAAAGGGAGTGAGTGAAGAGAGGGAAGGCAAAAAAGTAGAGATGTACACAAGAGTGTGTGTGCAGCCAGAGTGAAAATATATGTACAACCCCAACAAAGTGAAAAGGAGAGAGGGGTTTAATTGAGTAGAAGGAGTGGCAGTGAAAAACATGACAGAGGCAGAGAGAGACAGGACACTAACCTCACGTCTTTCAAATTTAATTAGCAAACGCAGCAGCGCTTCTCACTAATTCCTCTTCTAACGTCGTTTCATGGCTTTGGATATTAGGGTTTTGAGACAGCACTTGTGCCCGTATCATAGCCTGACAGAAGAAGCACTTAAAAAAGATCCCATTCAGAGGGATAAATTATACCATGAGCTAATTGAAGCCAAATTTACCTATTTGTTCATTATAATCCCAAAGCTAATGAGGAAATTTCAGACTAATTACAAAAAAAGAAAGTAATATTCATTCCCTTTGCTCGGCAACATGCGGTAAAAAAAATAAATCACGAACTTAATGAGCTAATTACACATGAGCGTCTGGGTCATAATTGATTGTGAGCAGAAGAGTTTGAGGATGTGCGTCTGTCTATGCTCTCTTGTTATTCCCCTGGTACATTTGACTGGATCCCAAAAGATCAACAGCATGAAAGACACAGAAGGGGGCAGAAACAAAGAGAACACTTAGAGGTTTCAGTTTGAGCTGCAATACATCCAGTTTGAAAAGACAATAAAAACTTGAAGCCTATTAGCAAAGTCTTTTTAGGATGATGGTATTCTGACAGGGAATTATTGGCACATAAAATCACTCATGTCGAAACATTTCAATTAAAATCATGCAGGACTTGTGCAAAGTCATCAGCACTGTCATCTCACAGCGGCGGGGTTGTGGGTCTAAATCCATTGGCTGGGGCCTTTCTTGTTGTCATTATCAGCTGTGCTGCTGACCATGTGGAGTCTTACAGGATGCAGAAATGTGGAGCCAAACCGAGCAATGTAAAATGAACTGTTTATTGGCTGGTTGCAATAATCCAAAAAGGGGAACATCCAAAAATATAAACTACAGAAACAAAAGGTTGAACCAACACTGGGGCAAGGAGAACAGACACTGATCAAAGACAAGGAGAGACAGCGTCTATATACACACAGAAGGGCAATCGGGGAAGTGGAAACAGCTGGGGACACAGCTGTACTAAATCGCAGTAGACGAGACGATGGAAACAAAGGACAGCTCTAAAAATAAAGCAGGAAGTGGGACAACTAAAAAGAAGGACTAACATACATTTTGGACTTTTAAATATATTTTCATGAATTTACAACTTGTCGAGCTGATAAAGACCTCATCCTTCACCATTCATACTAATATGTAATAGACAAACAATTAATGTCTCTTTTTAATTTAAATGCCTGGAGGTTTTTTTTAATGTGTTAACAGAAAAATAAATAATAAAAACGATTCACTTTATAATTACAGGGCAATTTAGGCAATAAGTTACCAGAACTTTTCTGTAATTTTACATATTTACTTCTTACAGTTTAAGCCCAAAGAGTCATGCTGGCATGTTTCCTGCATTTAATACAACAGTTTTCTTTATCATGAAGTAAAACTGAGAGATACTGTTGAAATAACACTTTTTAATAACAGTGAAATAACACTTTTTTTTTATATTGAGACATCTCAGGGATTAAATGTGTAGTTAAACATCTTTACACTGATACAAATTGTTGTTGTTGTTTTTACTTAAAATCAAAATGGGTTGCATGTGGTCAACAATGTAAAACGAGTGTGACATCCCTCTCTAAAGCAACTGGGAAGTAGAAACAAAAAAGATATGGCTTTAAACAAACAGATTATTTAAATAAACAAAACCAGGAAGGCCAAAAACTCACAAATACTGGGGCAAGCGACCCAGGGCCATGATATGTGTGGTAGTCTCCCAGACTCAGAAGACAAGCTCATTACGTTAATTAGTCATTTTAAATTATCTGTAGGTGTGAATTCTGAGCATTAATAGTTCTTTGTCTCTCTGTGTTGTAACCCGCCTTTTGCCCTATGACAGCTGGGATAGGCTGCAGTGTAAGATGATGGATAGATGGATTTTTTTAAGCTTATAAGCTTGTATGGCTCCTAAACACAAGTATGAACTGAAATGAAATGAAGGAAAGCAACACTGCCGTTAAAAAATAAATAATAAACACAACTTAACAATTTAAGAGGACACCACAAGCAGAGTTAGCTGATTGAAATTTTTAATACTTTGAAAAACATAACAGCAGCTTAGTTAGCTGAAGCACATGCCACGTGCCATGATTTGCTGTCTCTGAACTTCATGTGCACGGGATGTATCACCCTCTCCCCTCGCTCTAACCCGAGAGTAAACACCGAGAGAGGAGCTGGGAGCTTTATTTCTTTTCCTTCTTTAATCTCAAAGAACACTTGCTTCACTGATGGCTGAACTAAAGCTGTTTTCCCGGGAAAACGCCTGAAAGACGGCGAGACCTCCGCAGTTCACACTGGCCACTCTGTAATTAAGCTTTAACCTTCTCAGAAAGGATTTGTCAGAGTGGAAATTTGGGGTCCTCTGACTGAAACCCCTCCACATGCATCACTCCACCACCGGGTGCAACATAAAATACACTGTGAGGAGAGCAATTTTGCAAGTTGAGTGTGACTGCTATGTGGGTCTAAACGACATCAACCTTTATCTAAATGAAATGCATCCCCTGGAAAAATACTACCTTACAGCTCTCTTATAGTTCACATCTTTGGCGAGTTAATCTGGTGAACTAATGAGAGTCATTCATCTTCTGTATAAATTACCAGCTCCAATACATCCCCTCTCATAGAAAGTCTTTGTCGGAGCCCGTAAGACTTCTTTTGTTATACCTGTGGAGTAGTAAAGTGAGGGGGAGGGCGGTGATAGCAAAAGGAAGCCCTCATGCTATGGCTCAACTCACCTAACGATTAATCACATACCTTTAGGCGGTGAATTAAAGACCTGTGATAACTGGAGTGGCCTAATCATCTGCATAGCCAAGGGCAGGATTTATCCCTGTGAGAGCAAAGCTAAACCAACTGTTAAAGCTTCTCTGTCTTCTATCCTCCTGTCTCACTTTCACACTACTTTTTGCGTATGATTAGCTATTCTTGTGAGAGTGAGTCCATAAGATGCCACATAATCTCTACTAGTCTGCAGAATGATGACTTCCAGAAACGGCTCTCTTTATTTTTTGCACCACCTTTAAGTTGGTGAACCTTTACCCCCTGCTCATCACAACGCTCTTTGAAAATTCACCAAGCCGCTATGACAGCCGAGACATTTTTAAGACAAATATAGGCCAATCAGTATCACTATGGTAACGTCAGGCATCAGGTGGAAGTGTAAGCAGCTTCGTGATGAGCGAGGAGGACATCAGATACGTAATTTGATCAAGTCGGCAGAGGGAAAAGCATGAGGAACAAATATGGTTTTCTCTTCCAGTGGAAGTGTGATGGTATGACTAATCTATTAATTACCCGAATCCATTAATTAAGGCAAATTTAAATGGAATTTTAATGAAGTCTCCGGGATCTTTGTTGGATCAGTTCATTGAGTTTTTAGTGCATGAGTGTTGATATAGCAAAAATGATCTTTTTCCACTTTAGGTTAAAAGATTAGTTAGACATCCGGCCTTCTTGCTGAAAGCTATGTAAGGAAATAAATGCCAATCTTTGGCTCTTAGAGTAAATATAGAAGTAGGACAAAGCAACAACCTCAGGGATGAAAAATGAGCCCATTGCTGAAGTGTCAAAAATTACAGCACTGTGAATGGCCACTTGAAACTGCAAAAAGAGGTCAGTCTCCCTGGACTCCTGTGTTAAAAATGGTCAGCTTTAGACAGAGCTAAGGTTTTTTTGTTTACGTCCACTTATTTATTTATTTTAGAAACCACCTGGTTTAACTGTGTTTGTAAATGTATTAAAATTAAGACACCGGCTGCTTTGGCGCTGTCTCCTAGGCTTCACATCCCTGAATCGATACATATCTGGACTTTTTTTTTACTGTCTGAAGAGGAGGGATAGTGGATATATTGAGCAAAGGATGCTGAGAATGGAGCTGGCAGGGAAGAGGAAAAGAGTAACCTCAGAGAAAGTTCATGGATATAGTGAAGGAGGACATGCAGAGGGTTGGTGTGGTAGAAAAGGATGCAAAGGATAGATGATCTGTGGTGATCCATAAAAGGAGAACCCATAAAAGAAGACAAGCTACTGGATCTACTCATCTACATATTTATAATGCAAATGTGGAATATGTGTTCATTTTCTCAATTTACTCATCTGACCAAAAAAATGTTGAACTACCCCCTCAAAGCTTCGTGGGAATGCCTCTCCATAATTTTCAATCACAAGGAAATAACAAAGGGACTGCAGCTCTGCTCAACTGCAGGCTTGATAAATAAAGCATGTGGTTATACCTTGAATCTTATAAAAAATTCACAGCATTTAAATATTGGGCTGTGTGTGTGTAATTCTCTGCTGCCACAGTCCTGAGACGTGCTTATTTAATATTACGTCACGGTTTATTCCCTTCTGAGTGCTCTTCAAATGAATTTTCAGCTCCACGTCACCGCAGTTCAAGAACTCCACAGCTGTCGTAATCAAATAGGGAACCTTGAGAGGAGCGTCACTGATTGGAGTAACACTTAATTGTGTTGCACTGTGCCATATTTGCCTTGTCTGCCCATTCCTGACATACCATTTAAGCATTAATGAGCGAAACTGATGAGCCTAACGTAGTATAATGCAATAATTACAGGCCCCTCAGCATGCAGTAGCATCAAATGTGTTTGTTTACTATAAGGCACAGACATATTGTCCACTGAGTGGACAAATGAAGAGCATGCTTTAATAAAAAAAACTCTTATCCTAAACAATCTAAATTGGTCCATATTGAGATAGCAAGATTACTAAGATGTAAATTAATGACTCTAGCTTGCAGGGGGAAAAGATATACAGTGTATTAAATGCTGTAATATGAAATAGATAATTAGAGTGAGAGTAAATCCTTGCTAGTAGCTATATGAAACTGACAGAATAACAAGGAGCAAGAAAATCATGCAAGAATGAAGGACCGTGTGTGGTCTGAGCTGGAACAAGCAGTCCCATGACCAGCTCTTGGAAAATGTCAGCGCATGCACACAGGATGTAGTAAAGTCACTCACAGTGGAAAAACATGGAGATCGGGGAGTTTTAAAACAAACACCAGCACCAGCTTTTGTGTAAATGGATAACACAATGCTGGCACTAGCAGGGAAACACAACCAGACTTTCTTACCTTTGCCAAGTGGGAGTTGATCCATTTTGTGAATGTCCTTTTCTGCACTGCTTCCTGCTCATCTGTAAATCAGAGCCCAGAGCATTACTATTAGTCACGCGCAATAATAAACAAAGAAAGGATTAAAAACACAATCTTCTCATTGTTTATTGTGAGAGTCGCTTGGGTTTCTGATGCTGGATGGCTGCCTCTTGTTATCTCTGATAATCTTCCTGTCTCTCTAATGTGTCAGTCACACCAAATCATACCTTACACTAATGTACAAAGAGAAGGCATTTGACATTTACAGATGGCATTTTCATTATCTGAACTCCTCTTGCTGAGGACAGAAAATTGTGCTCTCGAAAATGCCCTTTAAATGATAGGAGGCCGGTGGTTCTCCCTCTTATCTGCCATGTTCTAGTCATTTCTGAGTGATCAAAATACACAAACGCGACATTACCCCAAATACATTGGTCTTGTTTATGGCAGCTAACGTAATGAAGGCCCTTTTGGAAACACCCAATCAATAGTATACATGTCTGCTGACGATGTCCCCTAAAAAGGCACTTAACCTGAATGAGAAAACCTAATAAATCAAGCATATATACAATTTTCTGTGCATTTATAGTATGAAATTGTGTGTGTTCTGCTGGATTTTTACCAACTAATGTATAGTTTATTCTTCGTGATATCTTGTGTCAGCAAAATTCAATGTTATGTGGAACCAATGTATTAAAAAAATTGAACATGAATGAGGTTATCTCAGAGAAATTAACGTGCAGCTGCTACACTTATACCATTAGAGTGTACAAAACCACACAATCTACCTGGGATTCAAAGCATCCCATCACGCGCATGCAACTGATGTTTTTGTGTGTCCCGTCTTTGCTGAAGAGCAATATCCTTGAGATAAGCACGTTATCAGCGAGAAAGGACGTCTGACACAGTGCCTTCCTCTACCTTAATGAAATATGCTGACGCCTTGATTGCACTCAAGTTGGTTAGTGTGTCACTGGGTGCTGTGGACAGACGCTAACGGGAAGAGGTGTGTCTGTGTCAGAGGGAAGGTACCTTTCATACATAATGCATATACACTCGCACATAGTCATACGTGCCACTGAGCAGCTTCCCGCTCTACAAATTAATCTTTTGATTGGGTCCAAGAGTAATCAAATATTGATGGGCGGTAATATTGGATGAGAATGGGGAAAGATGTTCCCTCCCTCCACATTCTTGAGCGGGAACATGCGTGACGGTGAACATGCCTGCATGTGCGTGGTGCCAGCCTCTCAGTCTCAGGGACGAGGTGACTTTGAACCTGCCGCACAAACGCAGTCACTCTTAAGCACACACGCTCATCTTCTTTCAATATAACAATGGGAAACAGCCATCCTTTGCAGCAGCATTTTAACACTCTTGATTACCTTCTATATCACTTGACTCATGCACAGTCCCTGATTTCCCACAGCGAAGATCACCTTAACAAATTATCATTGATTCAGTCAAGGAAAAGAATGCAAACTTGGTGCAAACAAATAGACCAGTTGTCAGACATCTCAGAGTATTTCCTTTCTTCTCAACAGTACAGACTGATAATGTGATTTATCCAGAGACAAGCTGGCAGACAGAATGCTGAATATGTGATATCCAAATGAGCAGAGAGGCAGATAGCCACAGGGTCAGACAGAGAGATAAGGAATCAAGCATTTTGACAGTCAGCCCTCTGTGCTGTGACACCTGCAGTGAGTTGTTACTTGTCTGCTGGGTATGCTTGTTTCACCAGCTGGAGACCTCCACACACACAAACACACACACACACACACACACACACACAGGCAGATACACACTCACTCGCTGACTCCGCCAGTGTGGAAACGCCCCCTTCAGACGTCTGCCCATTTCACTTTATTCACACACTCACAGCTTCGACAAAAAAACAAAAGCATCCTTCAGGGAACTCTTTGGAAGAAAACTGCACTGCAAAATGCACACAATCATTCATAGTTATGCACACACACATACACATATGTCCAGCAGGCACGTACGGCCCATGCTGCAGTGCCGTTTTAAATCACACACCCTACACACATGCAAAAATACACATTTTGTGCACTTGCTTTCTTTTTGGAGTCTCTATCTGTCTCAGCAGGACACACACATGCACACAGCCGCGCACACAAACTGCCCCACTTACCCCGGAGGTATTGGTAGAAGCCGGCCACCAGGTTGAGGGATGTGTTCTTTTTCGGGGAGGCTTCGCCCCCTACTTGCCGTGCCATCTTGTAACCCGGATTATGCCTCAATTTGTGCTTGTTTCATGGGGGCACTGAGAGGACATCAACGACAACCTCTGGGAGAGGCAACACTTGCCCTTGCTCCTGCCCTTGTTGCCCACCCCCCTTTTTTTCGGGGGGAGGTGTCTTTAAAGAGCTCCCTGAAGCACCGGACCTCCTGAGATGACAGCAGTGGAACTGTTGCGCTGAGGTAAAACAGGGAGGAAAGAACCACCCTCTCGTTTCTCCTGTCGCCCTTTACGTTCTGCCGTCCTCTGTCCTGTCCTGCAGTAGCGGGCTGCAGACTCAGTCAGACTCAGTGGTTTTCCTGCCTGTTAAGCAGCTTGGGAGTGTGATGTGAGAGTACGCGTGATGCAATGACTGTTTGTGTGTGTATGTGTGTGAGAGAGTGCTGCGCAGTGCCGGCTTGCCTCAGCATCAGTCTTTTTTTGCTTAGTCTCCCTCTCTCTCTTCCCCTCTCATATCCTCCCTACCTGCGTCCTTCCCTCCCACGTTTTCTCTCTCTCTTTCTCTCTCTCTCTCTCTCTCTCTCTCAATTTTTCGCTATAGGCTGCAGGAAAAAAAATTACTTCCCTCCAATGGCTAGCCAATCAGAGTGCGTGGGAATGAGTGATGTCACAGTAGCCCCATCCGCATGTGGAAAGGGAGGACTTAGCGGTGGTGGGTGGGTTAAAGGAGACCATTTAGCAGGTTAGTAGGGGAAAAGCGGGAGCTCTTCTGTGACAGCACCACACACACAAACACACAAACACTAAAGCAACGCGGGGACAGACGTGCAGGAATTCCCTATGTGCTGCTGGCACTCTTAATTCCCCTCCTCGCTCTCCCTCTGTCATCCATACAGATACCATGCAGTGCTCTGAGGCACGCTGCTTCTTTACTCCATAGAGCCTTCAGGGGAGCAGACTATCACTGACAGTCATCCTGTCTGATCTCCTACTGTACTCCCTTCAAAAAAAGAAAAAAAGAAAAGAGCCACTTTCATCTCAACCACAGTCACAAACAGTCTACTTGTTTTCTCTCTGGGTAAGCGACTACCGAACAGGAGTGGAAAACAATACAGGAGAATGTAATATCTGGGACAAGGTTTAGATTGTCATACAGCATGAAATGTACACAGTGCACAAAGCGTCTCGGACAAGAACAATATAGGGAAGTCCAGAACAAAGAAGACCACCACTTTCATTCTGATTCAGTCATGCTGTGGAAACTGCACTGCTGCTGCTGGTAAAACTTTTACTGCTAAACAAGGCAACAAGAAAACATTAGACAATGGGTGCACTGTTTGTCCAACTACTGAGAGTTCATTTTACAAAGGCATGTTCCCTGAGCGCGAGAAATCCCAAGACGATACTGGGAATTAAACAAAAAGCTAACTTGTGCCATTCCCTATGGTTTAACATCTTCTCATGATGTTGCTGGGTGTGCATGTCCCCAGTGTATGTTGACCCCTTCTTCTTTCACACTCTGATTCCTATCTCAGTTTCTGCCTGACCTCTGCTCTCCTGCATTCAGCCTTTTCTGTTTGTTCCCCGTCTCCTCCAACAACCACAGGCACACACGCGCACACACAGACACAAAAACATACAGCCAGTGTGAGCTCTGGCAAAATTAAAATTGCAGAGCTCCTTTTGAAACCATATTCAGAGAGTTTCCTGGAAAGCAATATTCATGCTGAAGAGCCCGGTGCATCTTATATCAGCCTTAAAGATGAAAGGACCATTCATCATTTGTATGATTTTCCCTTTTTGTTCTTTGGGTTCCCCCCATAAGGGATTTTAATTATAAAAGTCATCAATAACCGATGGCAGCTGTCATCCGCTATCTGTCTGCTGATAATCACACCACTGACACTCCTCCCTCTAACAGCCCCGGAACTGGCCGTCATAATGTGAGCCTATCCCTCTGGATGACTCTTTGAAACGAGTGTCTGTCAAGCAGCGCTTTACATTTCTGAACATACAGTTAGAGAGCTGTGTATGTGTGACGGACTGTGCCGGCATTTTAGCTCAAGCGACAGTTCAAAGAAATATTCATGCAGTCCTGTTTTTTTTTTCATATTGACATTTGCATTGCCTTTACCAGCTTTCTCTAAACTATAAAAACATGATTTATGCCAGTGGAAAGCAAAATCCATTGGGGGTTTCACTCTGCACAATCTCGCAATCCCAATTCAATAACATTACTGCAAGAAAATCCTTTGGCCCATGCTGCGCTGCAACCAGGCAAAGATCTATTGTTCTAGAGAGCCCACGCATTATCAATGATGTAAATAATAAAACAGAATATATTGACCGATGCACAGTGTGTTTCCATTTACTCCAGCCTCTATGCCAAGTTCAAGGTGCTGCTAAACAGCTACACCCGAACTCAGAAGTGTGAGGGAACTATCCGAGGTGCTGAACCCGCCAAAAAGAATCAATCAACGAGAATTAATGCAATTTTTAATCCACTTTAAAGCAGTAAATTTACAAAGAGCCAGCACTAAATAATGACCAGCTATAGCCACGCTGAAAGTCCAAGTCTTTTGAGCTCAGTATTTCTAGTTTTTTTGTTTTGTTTTGTTTTTTTTTAGATAATTCTTCCTTTTTAACAGTGAAAAATGTGGAAGCAGAACTTCTCTGGTGAACTAAACTGCTAAGAAAAACAACCCCAGGACAAAAACCAAAACAACATGGTGAGGATTCATGGGACTTATTAGACTTCACCACGGGAGCTGAGAGAACCACAGGGTGAGCAGGTGCACACAGGCTCACACACACATGTTGAACAGAACAAGCTGAATG